GGGGGGGGGGGGGGGGGGTTCTACAGGGGAGGTGGAAGGAGAAAGGAAAATGTTGGCCAGTCGTCAGGGTGGGGGCGCGACAGCAACGTGCAGCGTCCAGCAAAGCGAAGAGCGGAGTGGGACCGAGGTGAAGGAAGGCGTCTCGAGGGTTCCCCCGCCCGCACGCCCCCCACGCACTCACTCGGGTCTCCGAGGCGGCGGGGCGGTTCAGGGTGGATTCTCCCTTCCAGGGTAGTCCGGGGCGCGGTACGGTGGTCGTTCTTTCTTCCTTCCCGGGCGCCGCCGGGCCGGAGGCTGATGGGTCTTTTTCTTCGTTGAAGGTTGGGAGTAAGGAAGGGAGTTTGGGGCTATGATTCGCAATAATAATTCTTTCAGCTTTTTGGAGGTCAGGCTCGGCCAAGGGGGGACGGAAGGCGGGCGGGCCGGCCGGCGGCGACGGCGCGGGGATGTCGGACCGAAGGGCGGCTCGTGTCGCAGGGCGGAGGACGGTCCGGGCTCTGGCCAGCGGGCGGTCCTGCCCTTCTGGCCCCGCGTCGCCCGAGCCACTCGCTTCTCTCCGGCAAGGACCCGCACCTTCCCGCGCCCCGGCCCGAAGTGAGCAAAGTCAATGAAAAGTTTCACCCTTAGCAACCCTGCGCATGGATCCGGCTTCCCCACCCCTGCGTGATGCGTCCCTCCGCCCTGCAGGGGCGGGGCCGGGCGCCGAGCCGGGACTACTTCTCAGCACGCCGGGAGGCCTAACCCCTCGCGCAGCGCGGCCCGGAGCGCCGTGTGCCACCCGGGGGTGCTCCGCGACCCCCTTTCGCCCGCCGTCCCGTGGCCGGCCTCTTCTCACTCAGATCCCAGCCCAGACGCCAGCAAAGCTGCCTTTGGCCGGCCTGTAACGCTGTTCGCTTCCCCTCCCCATCACAGCGCCGTGCCACAGTTATTTTCTTCATGCCCCAGATCACTTTGAAAGTGTGCTTATTGGGTACAGTGTTTCTCCCCAGGTAGACAGCGAGCTCCGGGAGGGCAGGGGCCTGAACTGGAACCAAGTTGTTCACTTCAAACGTGTTGGATGAATGGATGTCGCGGGGAGGGGTAACTCTCTCCCCCCAACTTCCGTGGCTTGGGCCCTACACCTGCCCAGGCGCTGACGGTCGCCCGACCCGTTACTCCAGGGCACCTTGACGAGTCCCTCCGGGTCTGGACGTCTAACCGTCCGACCACCCCCCACGGCTCTCGCACCGTCCCAGTTACTGTCCTTTGACGGGACTGCGCGAGCTTTAGAAACGTTTTGCTCCTACATTCGGGCTGACTCGAGTCTTCCCAGCGCCTCGGGCCTCGTCGGGGGATGCTAATGTCGAAGGGAGGGCGAAGGGGAAACCGGGGCCAAGGCACACTGAGCAGGAGGCAGGGGAGGCGAGGGAGCCTAGCGCCACGTTAACCTTCCACTTGCCGCCTCTGGCCCCCAATTACCTCGCCACCGGAGAAGGCCAACACCGGCTCCGCGCAGGCGCGCGAGCACGTCCCCGGCCCGCCCCGGGCGGGGCTCGGCCCTTGTGGGGATCCTCCCGTTTGCTTTCTCCCGGCCGGTGACCCTTGTACTGGGCACTAGAGAGAGCCACATTTCTTCTATTAAGAGCTCCCGCCGGCGGGGCTTGGAGCCTGCCCATGTTAGGGGTGCCGGGGTCCCCAACTCGACGGTCCCTTAGGCTGCAAGACCTAGCTGGGCTTCCTGGCCCTGGATGGGGTGCGCCAGGCGCGCGCGCTCGGCTACTTTGTGACTGCGGGGCGTGGAGTTGGGGGTAGGGAGACTGTGCCCAGGTGAGGTCACAGGCGGACTGGACTGCCAGGTGGCGAGATCCGGGGCCTCTGGAAGCTTGCGCGTTGTCGTCTCCCCAATCGCCCATTCCCCAATTTTCTCCCCTCCCCCCAACCTTTATTCTAATTCGAGACGGTTCCAGCCCAACGGCAGTCACCGAACCCACGTGGGGTGGCGGAATCCAAAAGTTTCCAGCTACGAACAGTTTGCATTTGTTTGTTCCTTGATCACTTTTTTTTGGCAAGGGCAGAGACCAAGGTAGCGTGGGGGGGTTAAAAGCGCTTTCCTTGACTGCAGCAGGAAGACGCCGGACTGGAGGGCAAACTCCAAGGGGACAGGGAGGCGGGAGGGAGCCTGAGCCCGAAATCGCCCATCCCCCCCCTCCCCCAGCGCTTCAGCCCCTGGGGCACCTCCAGGGACTACTTGCCTCGTGCGTCAGCGAGTGGCAGAGCGTCACATATACGCCCCCCTCCGTTTTGCCCTACTCCACTCCTCCCCTTCTTTTTCCTCCCTCTCCACCTCCCTCCCTCCCCATCTCTTCCCACTCCTCCCTCGCTCTCCCCTAGCGTGTTCCACGCGAGCAGAGAGACCCGGCGGACCCACAGGGTTCCAGAGCACCGAAGAGCTAAAAATATAACGGGTGTGCTAGCAACAGCCTTCCGATTGGTCGGGGAGCAGGGAGAGGCGGTATCTGATTGGGTTTCCTTTCCAACAGCTAGGATTAAGAATGCGGGCCAAGAACGGAGGCGCTCGGCCCAAGGGGACAGTGTGCGTTTGCGCAGTGAGGCATTGCAAAGGATGCTGGTATTTGAAGTTATTCATTAGAGGCAACCTTGGAAATAGGTGGGTTTGAATCCCAGTTCTGTCTGTCCAGCAACCATGTTAAACTTGATTTAATGGCAGCAAGTCTGTTTACATCATCAAACCTGCTTTCTTGTTCTTAAAATGGGGATCGTGTGGAGATTAAATATGATACAGTGTATAAAGCTTGGCTCAAATAGTTGGTATACTTAATTTAGAGGTAACTGTTCAGGGGGGACCTAGGTGGCTCAGTGAGTTAAGCCTCTGACTTTGGCTCAGGTCATGATCTCACATTTGTGAGTTGGAGCCCTGTGTTGGTCTCTGTGCTGACGGTTCAGAGCCTGCAGCCTGCTTCGGATTCTGTGTCTCCTCTTTCTGTCCCTCTCCTGCTCACGCTCTGTGTCTCTCTCTCTCTCAAAAATAAATAAACATTAAAGGTAACTGTTCAGGCCAAACTGCATCCTACATATCCTGTTCACAGTTAGATGTGCATTCCCCAACAAGAAACCCTACTATACAGAATGAAGAGAAAAAAAGGTTAGGGTGAGCTGAAATGAACAGTCCTAGGGAATCTCAGAAAGGAGAGATGGAGTCCATATTAGCAGATTAAAGGTAGACGTCTCCTAACATTTAAGTGCAGGCTGAGGAAGGGCACAGTGAATCCCTGGACAGAAGGCGTTACATTTCTGCGTGTTCCAGCTTTTATTCTAATCTCCCCTGCAGTGCTGGAAACACACCAGGCCTGAGCAATTTAAGTGAACAAAACTGAGAAATCCAGCCTCCTTGACAATTGAGAGCCCTGGGTAAAAAGGGTTGGCATATAAATAGGAAGAAATAAAATAGAGGAGCAAAAGGTAATCACCATTCTTTACTGCTGATGGCTCCATTTGTCGTGTGAGTTGGAGGAGAGAAGGACTTTTTCTCTCCTCAACGTGTGATTTCATCTTGCCAGGGCTTAATTGTGAGCTTAATTCCTACTCAAGCATTCCGCAGTCCCCTCCCATTTTGAATAATCATACGTTGCAAGGTACACACCACGGTTTCAAAATGGTGAGCTTCAGACGCAACCCCCTGGTCTGAGAGTAAGCAAGTTATACCAGATGTTTTGTTGCCTTGGCAAGTCAGGCTGGTTAATAATTAACCCCAATTAACTCTCAGGGGTGAGTCACTCTCTCGTACACACATGCTAGGGTGAGAAATTTTGTAGTTACTTTTATGTTACCTAAGAAAATATTTCCTCAATTTGATTTTTCAGATCCACTGCTCCAGCTGGGCAGGAACAAAGACAACCACAACAAAACTGACTTTGGAGAAGTGATTGGATGCAGGACAAAATGATTTGCTATTTATTCACCACCAATACGTGAGTGAACAAACCTGGCCTTTGCTAAGACACTAAAAATTCAGAGTTCAAAGAAAGTAACATTTTAGTCTTGGTGGTAACAGGCCACTCCGGATGGAGTTGATGAGCAACCAAATAGCTGGGAAAAGATGGGAATTGGAATCCTTTTCTTAAGGCAAGAACATTTCTATCAAGACAAATAATCTTTCACCTTTATACCTAGCTTCAAACTACAACTAAAAACCTGCAGGTCGGAATAGAGTGACACAGTTTCTCTGAAATGTAGACAGTTCAGTTTGATTCCCTGGAAACTTTTTCTTTCTTTTTTATTTCCAGTATAGTTAACATACTGAAGTTAATCTTCTTAATTTAGAAGCTGCTAATTGGCAGGCCAAGGTCCACATCTGGTGGATATATTGTCTTGGTGTGTACTGACACATTAAAATTTTTAAAATGAGTTGACATTTAATGGGCACCTGGGTGGCTCAGTCAGTTAAGGGTCTAACTTCAGCTCAGGTCATGATCTCCAGGTTCGTAGGTACAGAGCCTGGATCCTGTTTCAGATTCTGTGTCTCCCTCCCTCTCTGCCCCTCCCCCGTTTGCTCTTTCTTTCCCTCTTTCTCTCTCTCAAAAATAAACATTAAAAAAATTATGAGTTGACATTTAAAAATTGGGAGATGGCACAAAGATTTTTTAATTTGCCATTTGTCCTAAATTCAAAGGATCTGGGCATTCCAGGTGGAAATTGTCCGGAGTTGAATAGCAGCTATCTCCTTTAGACATGTCCTATGTTCTCTGGTCTCCCCCCAGATTCCCCACACTGAGGCCAAGGGTCATAAATCATTTATCACCCTGTTTGGGCTATTCTTCTCACACCCCTCTTTTTTCAATCAATTATATTGCTTACTCAGACTCTTGAATTTGTGACCCATTTTTCAGTTCAATGTAATAAATAATTGAGTGATTGCCCTGCAGTGGAGGGAGAGGCAAAAGGAGTTCAAGGATTTTACCTAGTTCATTGTTGTGAATTTCTGGATTGGGATTCACGATCCATAAGTACGGTCATGCAATCACTTGGTTTAGTGGGTTTCAGGCAGAAGTTTTAGAATAGAATAGAATAGAATAAAATGAAAATATTGGAGCGTGTTTACACAGTAAACGCTTCATGAAACTTTTCTATGTATATAGTAGGCATGAATAGTCCAAGTGGGAGAGATTGTTGTGGGGTATGGTGTATCTAGAAGCATTCATGAGATGCCAGGAACTTAGAAGGAAGAGGTACCCAGTTGGATGGCTAATGTGAACGTGGAAAGGTATTTTGAACAAAGGAAATAGAGTCAAGAAGACAGGATATGTGCAAGGAATGTTCCTTTAACTGCCTGATGAAGTGCACAGAGAGAAGCAAATAGAGGAAAATCTTGGGGGTAGGGAAGAGGGAACCATTTTGAGGTCCTTCCATGCCAAGACTTAAATCTTTATCGATGAAAAAGTAGGATCCCACTGTAAAAGACCTACCATTTATATAAAGACTTCCCGGTAAGGGTAAGGAACTTACAAGGTCAAATTT